TGACAATTTTTTTCAGTTCGTCCACACATGCGCAAATGTGATCATATTGTAAAACCCACACAAGCGCGGAGATATGTTGTATTTGACGGTTTTGTAAGTGGTTTTATAATACTTTAATCGGTTACGAGAACTGTGATTCTCCCATGCTCTTGTTGTCGAAATAAGGTATCAATAACACAAGAAATGTGATGAAGTTGACACTCATATTTGCTTCTCGAAAATGAAAATGTATGCGATAGCCAAGATGTTTTACGCAAGCACATGACTTTATACACTAGTGCGTAAAGTCCTTCACTTTATGCACTAGTGCCTAATTTTACACATTAGTACCTTATTTTACGCACTAGTGCCCAATGTTACACACCAGTGCTTAATTTAACGCTCTAGTGCCTAATTTTACGCACCAGTGTGTTTACTGTGTAATAAACCTGTGATTTTATTTAATAATTAATAAACAACTGACCACCCTAACATATTAAATATAAACCATTTATTTTTCGTACTTGCCTGTAAATACATTACGCACTAGTGCAAAAGGGATAGATTTGTACAGCATGCGTAAAGATCTATTTTACGCACAGTAGTAACAAATATGATCGGTTGCTGTGTCTTTTGCTTTACAAATTGTATCTTAAATGTGTTTTACAATTAAATGAATATCATTAATTCTTGTTCCTTGTTTTAAATTAGCAGTACTCAAAACAATTTAAATACCGTCGCTGTCGCTGTCGACTTGCAACTTCAAATTGATGATTATGCCGTTGAATAATAGTAACAATTTGATGGGGAAAATAACTACGTGGGGTATGTATACATATCGGTATGTGCTAGTGTATGTTATTTGCGAATTCTACCATTTAATCAAACCTAGCAAACATAGTAATAATTGGTAGAGTAAATCAGAGTTTGTGTTAATAATACTATCCAATGCTTTGTACTATAAGTACTTTATAAATCGTTTCACGTTATGTGGAAACGTATGATTAAAAATTAAAATCGAATCTGTAATGTACATATTTTACACTAATGTGTAAAATATGTACTTTACGCAGTAGCACGTCATAGTTCGACAATTTTTCGAGGTAACATGCAAGACAGTCGTCGCAAATTATAGGTAAGCAATTTATTTTTCACACTAGTGTGTAAAGTTGGAATGTACAGAAAAAAGCTATATGATGTGCTGCCTACGTTATGAAACAATACGTTTTTGGTGCGGCTGAAATATGTAACACGGTTATGAAAGAGTCGGAATTTACGTTTACCATTTTCGTGAATTTATGAGTGTCATCTCTAAATAATTCAAATCTAATTAAAATTATGTCCGCCAATAATAATAATTCGACTGATTTGTAAAATTTAATTCAACATTATGTGGTATGGTTCATTATACGATATCGAATCTAGCAATAAAAATAAATTAGTAATTATATGTCATTTAAAATTCAATAGCAATAAAGTTACTTGGTGGAAAATTTACAACAAATATATGTATTGCTAAATCGGTACATTTTATTGGAAATATTTTTGTACGATAATGAGGCATGAAAAATAAAAGGATACGATTTTTTAAATTAATGACGAAAACCAACAAACGTGGTGCTGACAATTGCATGAATCGAAAATGGGATATATTGCACATTATGAATATAAATTGAAGCCTAGCGTCGTCTAACAAAGTACCACAGTACACATGTAGATGTCGCTACACATAATACATTCTTTTGTGCGAGAAATGTATATAAATTCTTTGTAAAAAAGCCAACCCTATGTACAAAAATTGTGGTCTGTGGTCTTTTTTAAAAATCAAGATGGCGGACCTCAAAATGGCTGCCAATGCGCAGTGGTGAGAACCTTTATCATTTTTAATTTCCATGAAATTTTATAGAACAAAATCTTAAAATATGTCGGAGAATCTAAAAAAATATTGTTTACAACAAAAAAATCAATTTTGGCTAAAAAAAAATTCCACCCCAACGGGACCTCCCCCCTCCCTCCTAGTCAGGATCAAGGTCAATTAGAGGTCAGATTGAGAAAAATTGCATGAAATCAAAGGATCTCGGAGTTTAGGTTTTTAGAGTCCGAATCGGAGGTTAGTTTGTTTGTATCAGGCCATTTTAAGGTTGTTTCAAGGTAATTTCAAGGTCAAATTGAGAAAAAGCCGAGCAATCATGTCCGACCACATGTAATACAAGATTTTGAGGTCGCCGAGTTCGAATCCGAGATCAGTTTGTCTGTATCAGGTAAGTTGAAGGTCGTCTCGAGGTTATTTCAAGGTCAAGTTGAGAAAAACTCCGGTTATACACGTATTCGGAGTTACCAAGTTCAAATCTGAGGTCAGTTCAGTCTTTAGTTTCCAACAAGATTCGGTGAAATACAGGGAGGTCCAAAATCGCCCCTAACTAACCCTACCAGAAAACATCTTTTTTCTCAAATCAACCTTGGAATGACCTTAAACCTGATTTGATACATATAAACGGATCTTGGATTCAAACTCTGAGACTTCAAAAACGGTAATCTATATCTCGATTTGACCTTTAAATGACCTTGAAATAACTCTCAAATGACCTGATGCAGACAAACTGACCTCGGATTCGAACTCAGCTATCCCAAAAACCTATATAATAAGCGATTAGGCTTAATTGCTCGGTTTTTTCAATTTGACCTTGAAATGACTTTGAGGCGATCTTTAAATAACCTGATACAGACAAACTAACCTCGGATTTTAATCCAGCGACCCCATAATCCTGTATAACAGATGGTGGGACTTGATTGCTCGGCTTTTTCTCAATTTGTCCTTGAAATGACCTTGAAACAACCTTAAAATGGTCTGAAACAGACAAACTAACCTCCGATTCGGACTCAGCGACCCAAAAAACCTACCTCTGATTTACTGGACTTATTTTCTATCTGACCTCTAATTTACCTTGTTCCCGTTTGGGGTGGAATCGAAATTTTTTTTTCATTTTTTTGGCCAAAAATGAAGGGGGCCGAAAACCGGCATAATTGACCCTCTCCCTTTCGTTTCTTAATCTTGAAAGCTTGAATCTTATTTGGAAATATCAATGAAAGTATCTTAAAATTACACAGCCACACAAAAAAAAGGTGGGAGGTCCGATGGGGTCGCTGAATCAAATCCGGACACCGGATTCGGATTCAGCGACCCCAAGAACAGATTCGGAAATCCCACTTTTTTTTTGTGGGGGGGGGGTTGTGTTATTAAATTACTTGCAGACTAGAAGACGATAAACTAAATTAATTTACAGACCGACACAATAAGTTTGCAAGGGAAACGCTTTGATAATTTCTTTTCATTATTTTAAAAAGATGTATTCGAATAAAAACGAATCTATTTTCAGTTTTCCGCAATGTAAAACATAGTCAATTGATTTCCGGTTTTAACAGGAAAATATAGTGCATAAAAAAGTAGATAAAGTAATGGATACCTTAGCAGGGAGCGTTCGTAGTTTCCGTGTTTTAAACTAGAGTGCCTTGAGGTCTGGCTCTGTCGTATAAAGAAGACCGCCGGCAACAAAGAAAAAATAAATGCGTGTCCTTTCAGCAGAGGCGGGAAGGCACCGCGGCCACTAAACGCCGAGGGTAAACGAATACAAAAACAAAGTTGGAAATTACCAAGTCGATAAGTCCTGGCTGGGGCCAAGCGGCACGCTGGAAGTAGCGGACATAAAGTGAATTGGACACAGAGTAAAATTATTGAGAAGAAGCACGGTCTAATAAAACAGAATTAAAGGAAAGTGCTTGAACTCGATTTAATGAAAATAATTGCACCCCGGCTGGTGAGTAGTTTTTTCCGGTGCGATTTTCTTTGATGAAATTAGATTTCGGAATGTGGCACAAATATTCCATCGGAAATTACGACAAGTTTCCCATTTTTCATAACAAAGTATTTAATATTTTATATGACTGGGTCTTTCCCCCAGAATAGCACTTATCTTTAACATTCCGAAAGATCGAAAAACAAAAGAGCATACATTTTTTTCATAATAATAGGTACATGCCAATGTCTAATTTTAAGGTAAATAACCTAGCAAACATAGTAATAATTGGTAGAGTAAATCAGAGTTTGTGTTAATAATACTATCCAATGCTTTGTACTATAAGTACTTTATAAATCGTTTCACGTTATGTGGACACGTATGATTAAAAATTAAAATCGAATCTGTAATGTACATATTTTACACTAATGTGTAAAATATGTACTTTACGCAGTAGTACGTCATAGTTTGACAATTTTTCGAGGTAACATGTAAGACAGTCGTCGCAAATTATAGGTAAGCAATTTATTTTTCACACTAGTGTGTAAAGTTGGAATGTACAGAAAAAAGCNTTTATTTAAATAATGTCAGGGTAATATTAAACTTCACAGAACACTTGCAGGCATTTATGTAAAAAAAATATTTGCCCTTTACTTTTCTGTTTTCTGGATAATAAAAACTGTGTATATGAAAATAATTTAAGTCTTATGTTAATATTTTAAACTTTCTTGACTGTAGTTTAGCCTGAAGATGTGAATTTGTCGTTCACGAAACCGAACATTATACTGTTTTTTTTTATTCTAGTATGAATAACTTACATAGGATTGACCTGTCTACGTATTTAATTTCCAAGCCTTGAATAAACTAAATATGTTTGGTACGCATGTTTCGAACCTTTTTTTAGAAGAAATACGTATCAACTTGGTTTTAAGCCTCACTTGTTTATCAGATCCCGGGCGTGCCTCAAGAGTCCACACTCGGGCCCTCCCTTTTTGCTTTGTTTATAAACGACGTCACGGAAGATTTACAAGACTAGAAATTAAGTACTGGGGTTGACTATGTTTCACATCACAAAGAGCGCAAAATAAACGCATTTTTATTCCAATATATTTTTTTAACTGGGCTAAGAATAGACAAAGACAACAAAGTGTAAAAAAATGAAGTAACCAAATATTTAACGAGGAATTAGTTTTTCAAATTTCAATACATAATAAATGCAATATATTCACTAAAAAAACTAAATAATACAACACTGTGCAATCTTGATTACATAAAAGATCTTGGATTACATTTGGAGGGTGCTGCACTTCCAATAATTTTTGGTTTCTATCTGTCAGCCACCACGATTGTTGGTTGATATATTAAACAGAACAAACATGTCGGTTTGATGTTGATGCATTTTAGCTAATAACTCACCTCACCCTGTATATTTATTATGTAATTGTCACGGCATTTGTCAAAGACGGAAACAAAGTTTAAAGGGAAAGCTGAGCAATAAAATTTTATTCTGTTGGTTTTGAGCTGGGATTATTCGATATGGTACATTAATTTTGAGAGAGGGATAGCGTGCCTGACAAAAAGCAGTGAAGAATCACAGCTGCGAACTGCGGCACTGCCCACCTTGCCATGCTGACACATCCTGAAACAAAAAACAATCATATATTTCCCTATAAATCAATATTTAACGTTTCTAAACTATAAAAAAGACCACTTTCTATCCAATCTGCCTGGGAAGGCAGCGAACTTCCCCCCCTTGTATTGGATCAACTATGTTTTAAACCAAATTGCGGTTTTTACGACTTCCGGTATTTTAGCAATTCGTTTTAATACTTTATTTATTCAACAAGTGGGTAAGTAAAGAAACACTTTTCACCAGTGCGAAAGTGCTATGAGTGCGTATGTAAAATACCTATACATACCCAGTCCACACATTCACAAATAATTTGTTTTACGCAGTACTGCGTAATGTATTTTACTTTAAGCACTAGGGCGTAAAATGAGATAAGACTAATTATTGGGTTTCACATAATGTACAGCTAATAAATATTTACTATCTAAATAAAACTATGTTTCAAACAAAACTGAGATTTTTACGACTTCTGGTATTTTAGCAATAGTTTTAATAATTATTTACACCACAAGTGCTGTGAGTGAAACTTTGTTCATATTTTCATCATATTTAAGTTTACGCAGTAACTCAAGTAAGTATTTTACATTACGCACTAGTGCGTAAAATGAGTAAAGATAGCAACTATTAGTTTTCGCGTATGTATAGCCAAGATACTTTTAAATAAATGTGCTACTTAAATAAAACTATGTTTTGAACCAAATTGCGGTTTTCTAGCAATTCGTTTTAATACTTATTTATGCAATAAGTAACATTTTCTACTAGCGTGATAGTGCTATGAGTGAAAAAAGGTGTTTTACATATGCAGTGCATGCTAAAAAATATGTTTTACGCAGTAGTAGGTACCCAAAGTTTTTTACTTCACGCAATACTGCGTAAAATGAAAAACGTCAATAATTATTGAATTTCACATATGTACAGCCAATGGTAATAGATATCTACCATTCAAATGAAATCATGCTTTAAACCAAATAGTGCGTAAAGTATTTTATTTTAAGCAGGATTGCATAAAACAACAAGAACCGATATCAACATCAATCAGGGAGGGCCTAGGGATTCTGATAGTGGGTTCGCACCCACAAAGCTTAGCACGAGAAGAACGAGGGCAGGTAAAAGATTACTAACTAGGTGCAATGTAAGCTGTATCTGGCGGTGATCAAGTACATAGGCCACAGAATAACAACCCGCTAGAGTGCATACATTTCTAACGAATTTGTTGTGCGTAGTAACGCATAAGTTATTTTACTTTACGCACTAGTGCGTAAAATTAGATAAGATAGAATATTATTTTAAAATGTATGTTTATTACTGAAATAAAACTACGTTTTAAACCAAAATGTGGTGTCGGAGACATTATTTCTTTTATATTTTACCACATTTAAAATTTACCATGTAGAGTGAGCGTAGATAGCATTCTGTGTACATCCAGCATCACACATCTTATATCATTCTAAATTCGCTGTATATATTATTTTGTAAGAAAAATTGTCCAAATGAATCCAAGTTCCACGTAATGTTTCATATTTCTAATGTTTTTTCTTATGAAAAATTCAGGAAATAGGAACAGGAAATAGTTGGCGTCTATATTTGAAGCTGATTTATATAAAATCAATGAGATAAGTATTATATTGTGTGGTATAATTTATTACGCACACATAATTGACACATTTCAGGCGCTGCTGCCGACAAAATATTAAAATGGATTACTACAGAAAAATATTGCGGCAGGTCCCTATTCAGCTTTAACAACCGTAATATGTTTCTAGGATTATCATTCAATACTTCAAGATGTGACGATAAAGTGAATCGAGTTTTATATTTTGTTTTTCTAAACTGATGTATAATTTTTTTGTCACTGTTTTTATTGCATTTAATGAGACGTAGTTGTGCAATCTAGATCATATCGACGCGTTGCTACGAAAACTTGCTATCTCAGATCTTTAAGAAAAAACATGCAATCTCACACAAAATTAAGTTTAACCAGAAATTTAAGTTGGCTACATTGGCGTTGAAATGCACATTGACTGATTAAAACCGTGCATTTATAATACTTATATAATATATTTTTCAAAATGTAATTTACACTTTTTATTTTATTTTTTCATTCAATATTTTTCAATTAATTTTGTTAACTTACTGTGGAAACATGCACGTGCATATCATATGCCCTGCGCCCGTCGCATCGATATCCAGCACATCATAAAGTACCGGCAATAAAAGTGTCGCATACCTGCAATTCATTTCCAGTCTATGCAAGCACGCGGCTACCGTACCTTTAAGAAGCCATTTGTTTTTATTGAGGTGCAGTAAGAATCGAATTTACAATTTTTAGATAAAGATATATCCCTAACACCACGTATCTGCAATCAAATTAAAATAACTTTTATATTTTTAAATGTGTCCAGTTAGTTCAGTTGTTGATAATGAGGATCAACTTTTGCCTGATACCGAATTGAAGCATTAATAGTAAACGAATAGAGTTCGGAATAATTTACAGGAATCTGGTAACGTCTACGTGGCGCTAAAAGTCATTACTTTTATGGACATAATCACGAGGTCGGCATCCTAAAATGACCTGCAAGCAAATTTGTCGAATCTGAGCGTGGCCACAAGAATTCCCTCTGGTTTCAATAGTTCAGCAGAGGGACACCTCAAATTGTTCTGGTTAAACTATATCCGAATATTTGGAATTTTCACACTTACTGTCATTAACGTTATTTAATTAAATCGACGGTTCTACATTCATTTAGTTTGGGTATAAATATTCGAAGGTATTCGGTCGAGCACTAAGAGGTTATTAGAATTCTGTTAGCGTTAAGACAGGATCGCAAATCAACAAAAATTCGAACTGTTGCGGTTGGGTAAGTTTTTAGGGCTGTAACAAATATTTCTATCTGCTGATTTTACTATTGCACAGTGCGTTTTATTGCAATAGTGCGTAAATATTTTACACACCAGTGACACACCAAGTTGTGCAACAAAGAGATAAAGCACTTCGAAATTTGAAATGCACTCGTATAAGATTGGTTGCAATATAATACGTAATTGTTATATCTCTATGATATGACGTGGAATGAAAAGGTTTTTGGAATCCGTTGTTATTTAAAAAAATATTAAACGACTTTGGAGAACTCTTAAGTCTCTTAATATACGATCTAGTAAAAATGTTACCAAATGAATTAATAGCTGCATTGAGTTTATATGTGGAAGAAGGCAATTAATTTGCTTATAACTAAAAGGAATAACCATCAAACTTTTGAAAAGATATTGATTTATGATTATCTTGTATGAAAGGTCCCTTAATGATAATGTATAATGATAATGTGATAATGTGATGTAATGTGATAATGTGATGTAATGATGTGATGTAATGTGATAATGTGTAATGTGATAATGTGATAATGTGGCTTTAGAAAACGGAATAATACTTCAACTGTCTAAATTACTATCACTGGCGACATAGTAAGAGTACAAAACATTACACAATTCATCATCAGAATCATAAGATTACTGAGACCTACATTCAATATTTTTCGATAAGCAGTTTCTCAGCTCTCTTCTGGTGCTTGTTTGTGGCTTCCTCTCCTCTTTCTAACGCTTTCTCTGTGGTGCCAGATGTCCATGTCTAGTTTAGCTGGAAAAGCGCTTCTCTTTTTCAGTTAGTTGCTTCCTGGTGTCTCCAGGAGAGTATAAACTGTATTTTCGTATATCAAATTTTTTTTTTACTTTTATTGATTATTTATATAAAATTGTAGGCATGTATTTTAAACATTAATGTTACGAGTAATGTTAGTGTCTTGTGCTAACCAATAGAAAATAATTCGTAGCCTCACATTCCAATAAGAAAAAAGAAACCCAGGATATCAACTAAACTCGCTGTATTTTACATTCGACAGCGGTTAAAAAATTACATCCGCTGATGTGATGGACTTGATGCTTACATTTAACAAGTTGTTTGAATTGTGCTGGCAACAGTTAGACATTCCTTGCAATATGTTCCTCAGACATGTAATCAATTCTATTAGCAAGTTGCCAAGCCGGAGTACTATTAGTTAACACCTAGAAAGACATAAGCCATGCTTAAGTACAAAACTTCAGCTATTGTTTCGAGCCGAATAGTTTAGAGGGATTATAAGCTCATCCCCAATTAAGTCCAATAACTATGTTTGTTAAAAATAATGAACAGTAAACTAACTGCGTCAATTTTGTAAAAATTACTTTACCTTGATAATATTATCCACACTCCAGATTCAAACTTCATACAGGGCGTTTATAAACAAGGATAATGTTTTTTAATGGTATGTAAATTGGATTTATAATAAACTTTTCGAATCGAACCCGTTAAAACAGCAAAACGGTGCTTAAAATTAACAAGAACCAAAATTGTTAAAAATTGTTGAGAACCGCTGGAATCGTTCCCTGCATAAAAGAGGCGTATAGCTGTGGCCAAAGATGGTGCGCCGTAATCTTATCAGATGAAGTCATATGAATATGACTCTGCTTTGATACCAAAGTAGCAAAAGATCGTTTAACTGATAATATTACAGGAAACAACAACTCTGCTGGCTACCAACATTGAATTATATCAATATCTAGCAAACAGATAGACATATTGAAATCATTAAGTAACGCAATATTTCAAAGAAATATCTTTTATTCCTGTTCTAAGCTATCGATGGAGTCAATGATTCTAAAAATGTTTCTTCATATTATAATAATAAAATAATAATAAAATTACATATCACTTTTTAAAAGAAAACTTGTTGAGAACCGCTAACTTCTATCTGGTATTTACATGTAACAACCCGTCTATTATGAATGGGAGATAAATAAACTATGCAGTGTGCCGGTGTTCTATTTGTGTGTGTAATAATTTGAGATTAATCCATGCTATATACAGAACCCAACAAGGTATTAACTTGGTACAATTTTGGAGTTGAAATTGGCGTCAAACTAAATAAAATTATTCCCCCCGAAAGACATTCAAGTGATTTATTTGAAGCGAATAGAAA